TTCTGCCTTGCAGTACTCAGGGTTTGGTTCAAAACCCAGCCAGTGTACCATTTGCATGGAGTTTCCATGTTCTCCTTGTGCAGGTTTCCTCCCACGTCCCAAAGACATGCTTGTAGGTTAATTGGCTCCAGTCCAAATTGGCCCTGTGTGTGTGTACCAATTGGCTACGCCCACCCAATTCGGGAGGTTTGAGGAAAGACCTGGTGATCTACATCATGAAAAAAAAAATTGCTGAGAAAATTCTTTGGAAATAGGCTCCCAAGTGTATCACGATGCCAAGAGTTGGATACACACAACTCCAATCACTAAAATCGAATGTGAACTTTTTCAGCATGTCATTTCAAATTGTATTTTTAATATTTAAATTAAAATAATTCCTGGTGATCCTGCCATAAATGGTCCTCGTAAGGCACTTCCTGTTATAGGGTGACATCGCTCTTTTCAAAAAAAATATTTTTCACTTTATTATATTATTCTTTCCTTTTCCTTATTCTTTCTTTTTCTGTGTACTGTGTTTAAAAAAATATATATATATAATTTAATTTGCAAATAACTTTGTAACTCTTTACAAGGTTCATTCATAAAAAGTTCCACCCGGCATTCTCGCGCCAACGGCGCCCCCTAGATGACGCTGATGAGTATAGGAAATCCCTATTTATAAACTAACCCCTTAGGCTGGGCACACACCTTACAACCATCGCCAGACTTTTGTCTTGCGATGGTTGTTAGTCAATATATGTAAATTATCTAATGGGATTTCTACTTCGTACCACTAAGGGGGGGGAGGGGGGTCCTATTTTTTGTTTTTACATAAGCTTCATGCAACTTTCAAGCAGGATTCACACTTTTGGAATGAGAAAAAAAAAAGTACGACTCTTTGCTGTTTGAATCTCATGTCAATATTTATAAATAGCTCCTTGATTGACGCTAATCAAAGTAAAATAAATACATTTTAAAAAAAAATTTAAATACATTTTGTTTTTTTAGTTTTGTTACTTTCGTTTTTTCCTTTAAACTGCATTAAAAAAAAATCCAAGACAATATCACCAAATAAAATCCTTGTTTGGTAAATAAATGAACCGAATCAATAGGCCCGCAGCGGTAAGGTAAAAATTGCCTTGGGGCTTAAGGGGCGTTTAGATCGACTGGTTATTTTTTTATGGCAACAACCGCTGACTGCCAATGTCTGTAAATATCATTCTCATGCCTGGCATTGTACTGCCACCTACTGTCAGCATGGGTACAAAGTTCCTAAAATTCATCATCGGCAATAAAAAATTGTTGCCGTCTTCCCTACACAGGTGTCAACTGCGAGGCGGAGATAGACGAGTGCCAGTCGAATCCGTGTCAAAATGGCGCCACGTGCCGAGATTACGTTGGCTACTTCCTATGCGAGTGCCCCGCAGGGTACGACGGGGAAGTGTGCCAGCTGGATATTGATGAGTGTCAAAGCCAGCCGTGTCTCAATGGAGGAGTTTGCGTGGACGCTCTTAACAGGTGACCCAATATTTTTTATATTTTACAATAAATGCAACTTTTATACATTGTCCGGAGTGACGAGACACAATTTCTAAAGCCACAAAATGTGCATCGCCGATGGTAGTACACGCCCGCTGTAGGTGATGGAATATGCTTGCCGGCAGGGCCGGATTTACTCTCTGCTGCCCCCAAGGCCAGGTTCCTCAATGCGCCCCTCCCCCACCCCACCAAACCTCCCATGGAGAATGGCAGACCTGCAGGCTGCATACATCGCCGAGATTCCCTATGCTCCTCGGCTCCATCTAGTGGCAGCAGTTAGAATGCCATTCACCCATCGTATGGCTGTGCAAACGTTTTTTAAATCATCCCGGTTGAGCCCCCATCAGAAGCCCCGTGTGATAGGGTGACAACCAGGGCCGGATTTACTGTCTCTGCTGCCCCAAGGCCAGGTTCCTCAATGCGCCCCCCTACCCACCAAACCTCCCTCCCCCCCATGGAGAATGGCAGACCTGCAGGCTGCATACATCGCCGAGATCACTTGTATAAAACAAGCGCCTGCTTCCTCGCTGTACATTTATCTCTGCTTGCCCAAAACAGGGCTAAATGTAGAGAATAACTACACTCCCAGTGCCTGGAACTGCATCTCCCAGGCGTCGGGAGGTAGGAATTCCACACCCCTGCTGCCCCTCTACTCCCTGCTGCCTCAAGGCCGGGCGTTGGTTGGCCTTGTGGGAAATCCGGCCCTGTTTGCCGTAGTGTTGGTTGGGGTGTGCACATTGGCGGATGAAATGTGCCCCGGCCTGTTTTTGTATTCTACGGCTCCTTTAACCCACTGCTGCTTATATAGGGGACCATCAAAGCTGCAGGCTAGGGGTATGAGTGACACTTACAAGTATCAGAATGAAACTATTAAAAGCACAAAAAACATTTATTTAAATATATTTCTCAATAGCCACCAAGGATATAATTCCCCTACGGGCGCACCAAATGCCTTTGCACGCTCAGATACTACCTTATGAAAGTAGTGGTCATCATAATTTAGCTGTGGGAGGAACCCATCAGGCCCCACCCACTATAGGCTGCAGTGACCAGTCTTTATTACAGGAGGGGGCGGAGACAAGACCAGTCACCCTGCACAAGGAGAGAGAGCAACAATGACCGGTCTGTATTACAGGAGGTGGCGGAGACAAGACCAGTCACCCTGCACATGGAGCAAAAGTAGCAGTGACCAGTCTTTATTAAAAAACTTGTAAAGTTACAGATAAATGAAAAAAATATCATATAAAATATAAAAAAGGAAAATTTATATATATCTAATATTATATAAAATAAAAAATGAAAATCCTTTTTATCTGTTATGTACACTCCTAATTTTAGCTGTATTTTAGGTTCAGCTGTAACTGCAGTGACACGGGATTTGAAGGAGATATGTGTGAAATCGATATCCTGGAATGCGCATCAAACCCCTGCCTGAATGATGCCACGTGCGTGGAAGGGGTGAAAGGCTACACGTGTGTCTGTTGGGCAGGTCAGTGCGGACATTTCATCTATTGTGTACAGAAAGGTTCTTATTGTTATTAGTAGTCAGATTACTGCTCAGCACCAGCCTAAGGCACAGGCAGCGGGTGGGAGAAGCAGACCTCTGAGCTTTGTGTGAGAGCAGCGGCCTCTCCGCAGCAGTCCCACACCTCCTTCCCTGCCGCCACCAGTCCGCCACCTCCTTCGCCGCCGACACCAGTCCGAGGCCTCCTTCCCTGCCAACACCAGTCCACCACCTCCTTCCCTGCCGACACCAGTCCGACACCTCCTTCCCTGCCAACACCAGTCCAACAACTACTTCCCCGCTGACACCAGTCTGCCATCTCCTTCCCTGCCGACACCAGTCCGCCACCTCCTTTCCCGCCTGACACCAGTCAGATACCTCCTTTCCCGCCTGACACCAGTCCGACACCTCCTTCCCCGTCGGACACCAGTCCGATACCTCCTTTCCCGCCTGACACCAGTCCGACATCTCCTTCCCAGCCCGACACCAGTCCGACACCTCCATCCCCGTCGGACACCAGTCCGATACCTCCTTTCCCGCCTGACACCAGTCCGACATCTCCTTCCCAGCCCGACACCAGTCCGACACCTCCTTCCCTGTTGGACACCAGTCCGATACCTCCTTTCCCGCCTGACACCAGTCCGACATCTCCTTCCGTGCCGACACCAGTCCGACATCTCCTTCCCTGCCCGACACCAATCCGACGCCTCCTTCCCCGCCGCCACCAGTCCGCCACCTCCTTCCCTGCCGACACCAGTCCGACATCTCCTTCCCCGCTGCCACCAGTCTGCTATCTCCTTAAAGGCGCTGTCACCAGGCTGGCACCCCACTGAGGCATAGCTAGAACTCTCCAATCAGCAGGAAACATGAGCTTTGATGATTGCAGATCACTTGCTGGGACTCAGTGGAGAAGGTGGGGGGTGGGGGGGACCCTTGCAGAGAGACCACTGTTCTCACACAGAGAGTCCCGATTCGTCAGCCTGTGCTTTGGATTGTGGACTGGTGCTGGGGAACTTGTCATTGATCTGTACAGGCTGAGCGGCTTTGACTAACTGGAAACACCTGGCCGTGCCCGCTGCACAAATACCCTAATCGGGGTGGTGCATGGTCTGAATGTGAATGAGGCCCCTATGGATAGAAATACCTTAAAATGTTAATAAGTAATATGAATTATAACCTGAAAAATAAATACTTCTACTACTCCTGGTCCACCTTGTACTGAGGAACCGCCCCCCCAAAGCCTGCTGGGAAATGGACAGTTCCCAAGAGTATCAATCTCCTGGGTTCCTCGCAACTCTCACTGGTTCTTCCCACCAACCGCCATGTCCTTATTGAGTCCATATTCCGAATTGCTTATCCTCTTCTTTCCCTTCTTCCATGACTTTTGTCTTCTTACACCTGTTATTATTTTTTCGTTCAGGGTATTCTGGGGACAGTTGTGAGCTAGACATTGACGAATGTGCAGAACGCCCGTGCCTGAATGACGCCCTCTGTCTTCAACGATCAAACGAGACATTTTATATGACTGAGCCGGAGTTCAACACGGAATTCGGTTACGCCGATGCCTCGGGATATGTGTGTAGATGTCAGCCGGGATTTACGGGTGAGTAACAGGAGATTGTCTTTGGAAAAAGGTCCTTTAAGGCAGATTATGGGACCAGTTGAAGGACCAATGGACTGAAGGGCACAACTGACTGAAGGGCCAACTGACTGAAGGACCATTGGACTGAAGGACCAACTGAATGAAGGAACAACTGACTGAAGGACCATTGGACTGAAGGATCAACTGACCGAAGGACCAACTGACTGAAGGACCAACGGACTGGAGGAGCAACGGACTGGAGGACCAACGGACTGGAGGACCAATGGACTGGAGGACCAACGGACTGAAGGATCAATTTCTATTTCATTCTCTTTCCAGGATATACGTAGCATTTTACAATATTATCACTTAAAAATACCCACAAAGGTCCAGGGGAATTTTCCACTTCTTAAAATGCTCCGAAACATGTGTAGTGCCCCCCCCGACCCAGACCCCAGACTTGTTCTTGAGGTCCATGCCTTCCTGGCACCTCCAACAGTCATAGGGCTTCTTTGGTTCTCCTTCCCAGATAGTTCTAGACCCTAACTGAGTCCACCTGTGGCCTCCTCCAGGCTTTAGGCCTAGTCAGCTTCTCCTTCTTTGTACATCCCACCCCTGGGGTCCTCATGTGGTCTCCTTCAGTCTTGAGGCCTAGTCAGCTTCTCCAACCTTGTACATCCCACCCCCAGGCCAAGCCCGGGGGGCCAGACTACATCTGTCTGCTCTGAACGGGAATGAGAGGGAGGAGCTAATACTCGTTGTGCATCTGGCATAGTGGGCCGTGCCGGTGTTCTGTCGAGAACGCCAACCCGTCTGCACTTGCACACACACCGGGATTACGGAGGAAATTTACAAAGTATTCATTTCTAATTGTTAATTGTGGTCGTTGATGATATGCCGTCCATGGCAGTAAGTGGTGGATGGCATTTTATGCACAATTAACATTGTAAGCAATGACATTATTATGTATTTATTGTGAATGTGCACAATATGCCAACCACCATTTACTGCCATAGATGGCATGTTATCAACGGTCACAAATAACCACTTCCGGGCCGCAATACGTCTATAGACGGCGGCCCACAGAAGTGGTTAAAACAAGAACAGCAGCAGCCGTGTTCTCGGTGTCATTTTATACAGCCGCCGGATCGGATCGTTTCTACTAGGGATGCACCGATACAAGCATCGGTATCGGCCGCGATACCGAGTATTTGCATGAGTACTCGTATGTCTAAAACGAGTACCTGTGTCCGCCATCTTCCACCGCCGCACACAGCACACAGGACCGCGTCTGCATTCATTCAAGATGGCCGCGATCTCCTTCTCCACGGGCGAACGGCCGAAAGCAGACTCCGCCTTCAATTCCTCTGTCCTCACTCGTGATTGGTGGGGAAGCCTGTCAATCATCCAATCGGCCAATCAGCGTGAGAAGAGGCAATTCCTCTGTCCTCACTCGTGATTGGTGGGGAAGCCTGTCAATCATCCAATCGGCTAATCAGCATGAGAAGAGGCCGGCATTGACAGATGACTAGGCTGTGACACGAGGGGATGAAGCAGACGGAGACGACGGAGGACAAGGTTAGCAGCACTGCTGGGGCTGGGCACAGGATGGGGGGTGGGCACAGGATGGCCTCAAAAGTTATATTTGCCT